AAAAAGGAATTGAGAAAGAAAAAGTGGGGGTGAGAAAGTAGATACGATTCTCTCTGATATTTCAGACATGAGAGATCATTAATTTCATATTGTTTGTTAGTGAAAAGAAAGTGACGTTTCAAAGACGTATCCTAAACGCAAAATTCACTTGTCTTCTTCTTTTTTCTTTAAACATTGTGTCTCTGAAAATAGTCAAGTCCCTCAATCAAAACGCTCCCTCACACTTAGAACACCCAAACAAAAAGGAGGCACCAAATCTAAAGATAGATTATAGAAATCGAGACAAAATCAGGATTTCAAAAGTGAGAAAGATTTTCTTGTTTCTATTTTACAGCTCTGTATTTTTCATTGATGTCCATCCACCACCACCAACCAACCAAACTGCACTATGATGAGTGTCAAATGTTTTTACTCTTATGTTATTTTTGTTTAAATGTTCTTCTTTTTCTTTTCATCTGGCAAGAAATGTATCATAATGTTGACTCATGACTCTACTGAATGTGGGCCGGTAAATAGTAAAAACAATAATTGACCAAAACATAGTTATCAGTATTACACAAAGAAAAATTCATTTTAAAAAAAATCAAATAATAAGATTTTTTTGAAATTATATTATGTTTTTAAAATAAATAAAATAATAGTAATTACCAAAAAAAACAACTTTTTAATATTGTTCGTTATCAAAATATTAAACTCTGAACTCTAATTTCTAAACTCTAAACCAAAAATCTTTGGAAAATCCTAAACCGTAAACTCTTACGGTTTAGGATTAAGGGTTTATAATTTTTCCAAAGGTTCATGATTTAGGGTTTAATGTTTAGAATTTATGTTTTAGAATTAAGGGTTTCGTGTTTAGAGTGAATGGTTTAGAATTTAGTTTAGAGTTTAGGATTAAAGGATTAGGGTTTCAGATTTGTCCAAGGGTTCATAATTTACCAATGGATTTAGGGTTTAGCATTTAGAGTTTAGTATTTTGCTAACGGGTTTAACAATATTAAAATATTTTTTTGGTAATTATTATTATTTTATTTATTTTAAAACCATAATATTATTTTAGATTTTCTTATTATTTTAGTTTTCTTTTTAAAAGATATTGAATCTATAATAACTAAATTTTATTGGTCGGTGAATTTAGAGGTTCACCCTAATGGGTGAACTTAAAAATAACTATATTCTAACTAAAGTTATTAGACGTGAATCTTTATAAAATAGTTCATGATGATGGAATCATATATGAATGTTCATAACAAAAATGACTGATTGTAAAGTTGTCTATGTAATATTTTTATAATTTGTAATACTACTAAATCATTTTTTAAAAAATCTGTAAAAATATTAACATTATTGTGTGATATTTTAACTTATTGTAAGTTTTTGTCTAAAACTCATCTATACTATTAAAAGAGAAGTACTCATATAAAACACCCCTGAGTTTTTCTAATTATTTACAATGTTATGCCACTGAAGTTATTAATTACCCTACCTTATAGGATTCTTTGTCTTTTCATTTTAATTAATTTCTAAAAAAAATTAGGGCAACAATAATTAATGAAAATAATTATTTTCATATATACTTTTCGTAATTAAATAAATAAATTATATAGAAATTGTTTTACTAATTCCATATACATAATAATTAATTCCAATATTAATTAACCTACCTTTTAGGATTTTTTTCTTATTAATTATCTACATATCTTTAAATAGTTAATGAACAATATTTTTTTCAAAGATATATAATTATATTTTTATTATTTATAAGTAATAACTAAAATAAAAGTCACAAAAAATTTATATAATATATAATAAAAAGATTAATATAAACATATCATGTTATGTATGTTTTTATATAAACAATAGTTCAAGGTAAATTCAGAATTATAAAAATTAAAAAGTAGAAATATATAGGACCATATATTTTCAAATAGTAAATAAAACAATTTAGTTATACATTATCATAAAATTTTGATCCATAAAAATAAAATAAAAATATTTGTGCAGATATACAGGTCATATTTTTAAAATAAGTATGACACAATGATAGTTTATAAGATAAAATAAAATTACTCAATATAAACTATAAAATTGTGTGTTTAAAATGTCATTTTAAACAATTATTTAAACGGATAAATTTAGAAATATATATTATCACTTATAAAATATATAAAAACAAACACTTGCGCGGATCAAACAGCAAACTTTTTGGTATTCTTCTATCAAAATTAAACTCATAAGTAATTTGTAACCATTTAATTGATACTTAATTTTTTTATTTTACATCATTTAGATAAACCTAAAAATTAAAAGAAAACAAAACACCCGACCGACCGGGCGGATCATGGTCTAGTAAACGTTAAAAGAGAAATTACATAAAACACAAAATGATTATGTTTTCTCTCTCCTTCTTGGGGTGTGATTGATACTTGATGTAGACAATCACATTTATGTTTACAACACCAAATTGACAGTAATTAAATTTAATTATTTTCTTAAAATTGTAGCTCTTAAAATATGTACAGCTATACAAGTGTTTTGTAGAATCAAATTTCTACAAAATTATTTGAAACTTTCTATAATTTTACATCAATCAAATTTAAAGGCACCATAATTTTTATTTTTTTCTACAGCAAAAATTTTAAAGCATAACCATTATCAATCGGAGCCTTATAGTTTGACATCATAAATTTAAATTATAGAAGAGGTCTCAGAGGTATATAATTTAACCATACAGAATCTGGAAGATTTAATTATGATTATGAACTTATATAGAAATAATCAATATTTGAACTAAAATATCAATCTTGTGGGGGGCGGGTGGTGTCCAAATCTATATTATAATAGTAGAGTTTCTAGGCTACACAACGCGCCATGTCAGCAGTTTTGTGGGGCCCATATGTATTTTTTTAAAACCCATAGTCTTGGTAAGATAATTATGAACAATGAAATACAATTTAGCCAAGTGGTATAAGGTTTCCAATTAAGCATGCAAGATCGTGGGTTCAAACCACGCAGCTATCATGTATTTTTGATTTTTTGATTTGGTTATTATCTTATGGGCTTTTTATTTATAAAGTTTTTATGTTTTTTTGGGCTTATTGTTTTAAAGATCAAAATAGTTGGATAAACCCTAAAGTTTAACAAATTCAAACCCAAAAATAGTTAAAAATCGATCCAAAAACGAACAATAAAAAAACAAAAAAAAAGCAAGTCTCACGCGGTTGCATACGCGGATGGCTTAAAGAACCTTATAACTATCCTATTATAATATAGCTCAACCCAAAAATAATAAAAATGGATCCAAAAACGAACAGACCAAAACAAAAAAAAACACGCGGCTGCCTACGTGGATGGCTTAATGAAGCTTGAATAATATAGATTAAGATCTCAAAAATTTAATCCTTGCACAGATTTCCTAATATATATTTTCAAAAAAAAATTATATGTGAGATAAAATAAAAAGAAAAAGCAAAATTTAATTATTTTTTGTTATTTATTAAATGAATATGTAATTTCTCTTACATTTTAATAACTACTATAATTTCATTGAAAACATTCCTCACCACCGATTCCAAACCCCGGCGAATGGATTCTCACAGTCGATGACGCCGTATATAAAAATGCCACATCATTTATGAACAAAACTCAAACTTACAAAAAACCATATATAAAAATCTATCTAATGAAACTTAAACAACGAATATTAACTTAATTAAGGTTATTTTCAAATTGATAAATCGTTTAATACAAATATAACTACTATAAATATAGAATTATATCAAGTTTTGACCTACGATATAAAAAATTATTTACAGCAAAAAAAAACACCTAGGTTTACACACTTAAAACTATATTATAGTCTAACTGTTACTATAAACCTTATTTCGTATATAAATAACATTTAACACATTCCTAATATATTTTCAAAAAAATTGTATGTGAAATAAAATAAAATAAACAATAAATATTAAGTATTTTTGTTATTTATTAAATGAATATGTAATTTCTCTTACATTTTAATAACTACTATAATTTGATTGAAAACATTCCTCACCATCAACTCCTGACTCCGGCGAATGGATTCCGACAGTCGATGACGCCGTAGATAAAAATACCACATCATTTATGAATAGAACCCAAACTTACAAAAAACCTTATATAAAAACCTATCTAATGAAACTTAAACAACGAATATTAACTTAACTAAGGTTATTTTCAAATTGATAAATCGTTTAATACAAATATAAATACTATAAATATATAATTATATCAAGTTTGACCTACGATATAAAAAATTATTTACAGAAAAAAAATAGACACCTACTTTTACACACTAAAAACTATATTATAGTCTAACTATTCCTATAAACCTTACTTCGCATATAAATAACATTTAACATATTATATATACAATATTTTCACTTTATACTCTTACTACATTCTTTCAGTTTCATTATTATTTGGTGTTATTAGAAGAATCCACTAAACCAACAATCAAGAAAATATTGCAAACACAATGATCCCAGCCCCGCGCTTGCGCGGAGAGTATGCAACTAGTGATTTTTAACAAATTATAAGCTAGTTAATTAAAAGTTTTTACTAAATACCGTCACTGATGTCAAAATGTTAAGAACTACTATCCGAAGAAGCAAATACTACCCGATCAACCACTTCATCTGACAAGCGTGTTGGATTTTTTTCTTCTTCAAAGTGGTGTTTGATTTTCAGACTTGAAAATTTCACTTGCATTCATTAATGGGCCTTAACTAGTGTAGGCTTATCTTCTTCGATTATATGATATATGGGCCTATGTGCACACCTCGGTCAGTGTTGTTAAGTTGATAGATGCTTGTAAGAAGTTGTTTTCTTCATATGTTGATATCAAAGGCATAACACACAAGCAAATTTAATTTTCAAATATCTAAATAAATTCAAACATTAAGAATTGTGTTTCAAGCACCATATATAAACAGGGACTAAATAGTCCACTTTTGTTTTAAAGTCTCCAGTAGAATATGCCATTGTGAAACAGGTCAAGACAAAAGAACCATGTCTTCAAATCTAAACACAAAACAAAAACTGGTGGTGTATGTTACTTGTTGAAGATAGGGTGGAGCAAAACCTTCCAAAATTCAAGTAAAAATGCAAGTCCGTGGCAACTCTCTTTTCTTTTTATCTCCCCCATACTCTCTTCTTCAAACCATTCAAGAGCCAAGCCAACATTTCCAGCTAGAATGGTGGTCTCTGCTGACTGCAGAATCTCCCTCTCTGCCCCCAGCTGCCTACGTGGCTCCTCCGGCTTGACCAGGCACATTAAGCTAGGCAGCTTCTGTAATGGAGAGCTCATGGGGAAGAAGCTCAACTTGGCTCAGCTTCGATCTTCTTCTAGTAACTTCTCTAAGAAGGGAGTTCAAATGTCTTTAACCAGTGTAGCTGGAGAGAGTAAGGTAAAAAGAGTTTCAACCTTTGTATCCCTATCCTTTGATCTCTTAGCTCATCACTGCTTTGCACTATGTTCCAGGTACAAGAGATTGAGTCTGAGAAAAGGGATCCAAGGACAGTGGCTTCCATTATTCTTGGAGGTGGAGCAGGAACTAGACTCTTTCCTCTCACAAAGCGTCGTGCAAAGCCTGCTGTTAGCTCCCTTCTCTATTTCCACGTTTTCAATATTAGCACACAAATATAATTAATAGTGGATATGTTTTGAACTTCAGGTCCCTATAGGAGGAGCATATAGGTTGATAGATGTACCAATGAGCAACTGCATCAACAGTGGAATCAACAAAGTCTACATCCTCACACAATACAACTCAGCTTCTTTGAACAGGCATTTAGCTCGTGCTTACAACTCCAATGGAGTTGGCTTTGGAGATGGATATGTTGAGGTACTTGCAGCCACTCAAACACCAGGAGAAGCTGGTAAGAAGTGGTTCCAAGGTACAGCAGATGCGGTTAGGCAATTCCATTGGCTTTTCGAGGTAAGAAACCACTAAACTTATATTCACATTAAAAAAATAAAATAAACAAACGGTCCAATGATTATTTTTGCATAGGATGCAAGAAGCAAGGAGATAGAAGATGTGTTGATCCTCTCTGGAGATCATCTCTACAGGATGGATTACATGGATTTTGTACAAGTGAGACTAAACTACTTGATCAAAGAGCTAGTTTACTCTCAGTGCTAATACTTCATTATGCAGGATCATAGGCAGAGTGGTGCTGATATAAGCATTTCATGCATACCAATAGATGACAGGTAAGTATATTAGATCCTTTTTTCATTATGTTGAATCAAAGATCATGATTTTATTTTATGGTCTTTGTGTGTTACATGGTTAGACGTGCTTCGGATTTTGGTCTAATGAAGATAGATGAAAAAGGAAGAGTTATCTCTTTCAGTGAAAAACCTAAAGGAGACGACCTGAAAGCAATGGTATGTTTATAATATTAACATCTTCAGAACAAAAACTTGAAGATTGCTTCTAACCTCTGGGTATTGCCTTAGGCAGTTGACACAACTATTCTAGGACTTTCCAAGGAGGAAGCTGAAAAGAAACCATACATAGCTTCAATGGGAGTTTATGTTTTCAAAAAAGAGATATTGTTGAATCTCTTAAGGTAACAACAACAACACTTTAAGTTCTATATGCTATTTTAAGAACTGTGCAGAAGTAAAATAACTTGCAAGTGTTTTGATATCAGATGGCGTTTCCCAACAGCAAACGACTTTGGCTCAGAGATTATTCCCTTCTCAGCTAAAGAATTCTATGTGAATGTGAGTAACATTCAGTTTAAGAATACATTTACGTCAAATGAGTATTGTTTGATAATAAGAGATCTTTTGAGCAGGCTTATCTCTTTAATGACTACTGGGAAGACATAGGAACGATAAGATCTTTCTTTGAGGCAAATCTCGCCCTCACTGAGCATGTAAGGACAAATCTATCTTCCAAGAATGTTCATAATCATATATATTATATGCTCATATTGTCACTTACGTCACCTTTTAGCCACCGGCATTCAGTTTCTACGACGCAGCAAAACCAATATATACATCAAGGAGAAACCTGCCACCATCAAAAATAGATGGTTCTAAGGTAAAATATAACCAGCCATAATATGGCATCATACTTCCATGTCTTTTGGTTTTCGACCACTTTTTCTTCAGGACTAACTCTTTAAGTTCATTAAATGTGAAGCTGATTGATTCGATTATTTCTCATGGGAGCTTCTTAACCAACTGCTTAGTTGAGCACAGCATTGTGGGTATTAGATCTAGAATAGGCAGTAACGTTCAGTTAAAGGTAGGCAAATTTTTTTTAATCTTTCTAATTATGACTCTTCAAATTATATGATGATCTAATAAAGCATGGAAACTCTAGGACACTGTGATGCTTGGAGCAGATTTCTACGAAACTGAAGCAGAAGTTGCATCACTTTTAGCTGAAGGAAAGGTTCCCATTGGAATAGGAGAGAACACAAAAATCAAGTAAGACTTACAAAACAGTTCTCTGTTGTGGAGTTGCCTCATTCCTTTTCTTCCTTCTCCTTTTACCTACAGAGAATGCATTATAGACAAGAATGCTAGGGTTGGAAAGAATGTAATCATCGCAAACTCAGAGGTGAGTTTTCTTTTATTTAAGAAAAAGTACTTGGAAAACCATTAGACATACAATCCTTCATTTTCTTATCTCATTTCCAATAATGTAATGACTTGCAGGGAGTACAAGAAGCAGATAGGTCAGCTGATGGATTTTACATCAGATCTGGCATTACAGTAATCTTGAAGAACTCAGTAATCCGAGATGGAGTTGTCATATGATACTTTTTAAGTGTAAGAACTAAGAGTACTGAGCAGAAAAAAACCAAGACTAAATTGAAAATGATGCGGTTTCTGAAAAATAATTTCCATGTAATCAAATATTATGTATCAAGCTGATGGTATTTTGGCCACTTGTATTGGTAGTTTATGGAAATAAAAAAGGAGGAAACAACGGCAAATATGCAAAGTTTATGTACAGTAAAAATTTAAAACTGTACCTACAACATAAGTTCCTCGCAGCTGAACATTAGTTCATTTTAGAAAGTCTGTTCTTAACATCTCATGTCATGATCTTTGATGAGCTTAAGCTAACTTGCTTTGTCCTTAACATCTTGTGTCATGATCTTTGATGAGCTTAAGCTAACTTGCTATTGCTCCACTTCTCTATGGTGTTATACCAACCCCATTGGAAAAATAAACCAACGAATCTAACAAAACCACCAAACATAACTTCCATCAAAGCATCCCAAAACGATCTCTGAGGAGACATGCCACTGGTCGCAATAGACAGTAAGTACCCAATAAAATGACACGTCACTGTGAACTTCCCTCCTTTGATACCATCCAAACATATCTTGGCTACTTCTTTCGTTTTCATTGAACCTGAAGATGCAGCTATGATGGATGTAAGCTCCGGCCTCTTCTTCAGTTCTACGAGACCAAAAAAAAAAAACAATCTCTCATAATTAGAACAGAGTCATTTCGATGTTTTTATAACTGATTCAAAAACTTTGTCTTACCTTCTTCAAAACCAGGTCAAGGTGTGTCAGTATCTGGAGGAAACAGAAGAGACACATGAATGTCATTAGATATAACTTCTTGCTGCAAAGCTTGCGCTAAGCCTTGAAGCCCAAACTTGCTCGCTGAATATGCAGTGTAACCATAGATTCCTGCCTGACCAGCTTGAGAGGAAACGATAGAAATGGAACCAGGGCCACGACCTTTCATGGAAGGCAAAGCAGCTTTGATCACATTGAAACTTCCCACAAGATTCACATCGATCATAAACTTGACTTCCTCATAACTCTGTTTCTCAAGCTCCTTTCCTATAAACACTCCTTGGTTAACGATCAACACATCGATGGGACCTGATTGGTCAACGGCTTTGGAGACGGCGTCGTAATCACGAACGTCTGCGGAGAACGTGGAGACGTCAACGCCGGTTGCTAGCTTGATGGATTGTTTGGCATCGGCTAGTTTAGAGACGGAGCGTGCGAGGATGGAGACTCGAGCTCCCTCGGAGACGGCAAGGTGAGCGAGAGCGAGACCTATGCCGCTTGATCCACCGGTGATGAAGACGTGGCGTGACTTGATTGGGATCTTGACGGATCTAGGACGTACGATCAAAGCCAAGATGATGAGAAGAGAAACGATGAAGAGAGTGAAGACGAGGAAGAGAGAAAATATGGATGTCATGTGTAAGTTATTTACCTTTATTTTTATGTTTATGTTCTGTCTGTGTGTAAACTTTTGTTTATGTTCTGTCTGTGTGAAAATATAGTACTATGTTTTTAAATCTTGCCTCGAGGGTTATTTGATTTTTTTAACTGGTTGACTATATAGTCTTGTCTGTTCATTGTTTACATTTCCATTTCATCTATGCTGATTCATGTTCAATGTTGAGAGTTTGGTTAATCTTTACACATCCTTAACCTTAGACTTCTTTATGATGATGTTCTTGTGTATGTGTGAGCGTTTATGTTCTGTGTGTGAAAGAGTGGATATGATATACTGAAAATTAAGATTTTTTTTTTTGGAAAAATTGGAATGAAACAACATATTATTTTGCTCTAAATAGAAAGATGAAAGGGAATGAATGACAACTAATAATGGCAGAGAGAGAGAGGGAGATGGGCATGTGAGTGTGAGTGGGCATGGTATGACAGAAGGTGTGTGAGCTTGTGACAGTCTTTTTGGACCTCTTAGTTAAGATTAGATCTGACTTTTTTATATATTCAGGGACAGTGTGGCAAACTAGGCTGTGATGTCCCCAAGATATTGATTGATTGGACAGAGATAGAGAGAGAGAGAGAGACATAGAACATTTGCTCATTCCACATGGGGCTTTGTCTTTACACATTCCTCCATCAGTCTCTTGTTGTAATAAATCACTCAGCAAGATTTTGCAACTTGATTTTTATTAATCCTTGAAAACATATTTTACAAATAGAGAAGTCAGTGAAATATCATCATCTCTAAAATGACCAATAAAGAGTTACATTAAAAAAAAAGCAAGAACAAGCTTGGAACAAATCTCCAAGACCTTCCTTCCTTATGGAATCATTATTCTTCCTGATTTACAAACAAATAAATCTTAAGCATCTATAAAATATTATATGATTATATGAATCAGTCACACCAAATGCCATGAATCTTGCAGAATATTTGTTAAATTAATCAACTGTAGATAGATGCTGCATCTCTGTAGGTTCTTCTTGGGACAGAAGCATGAACATGATTACTAGTGATCATGCTGCTCTTGTTGTTGTTGTTGTTGTGAGTGGTGAGGGTACTTCTTAAGCTGTCATGATTCTGCTGATACTGTTGTCTGTTTTGGTGAAGAGAGCGTTGTTGCTTGGCGTTGAAGGAACTAACCCTGCCTTGCTTCGGATGATGAGGTCTCCTTCTGGTCTGAGAAGATTTAGGGATGAAAACACCAGTCCCTTTGCTCTGTTCTTGCTGATACATATATGGAGCCGTTTGGTAGCCTCCCCTGAACATACCCTGCTTCCACAAAGATTCAAGAAACACACGTTTAGAGAGAGGTATCTTTAGAGAGATATAGAGAGGTTAGGAGTGTGTGGAGAGAGGAACAAACCTGGAACGCGAGAGGGGAGGAGGAAGAGAGAGAAACAGGGTTGAACTGTTCATCTTCATCCATGATGAGAAGAGAGATCTGTTTACTTATGTCTGCAAAGAAGACATCATCATCAAGCTCTAACTCCATAGCCATGTCTATCTACCTTTCTTGAGACTTGGTTGCTCTGAAGAAACAAGTCTTGTGTGTTTATTTTTCTTTACTTCAAGTGGAGTTCGAGAGAACGTTGAAGGAGTCAAATAAATAGGCCAGAAAATACTGGCCCTTAAGAGAGAGGAAGATGCATGTGGGTGGGAGAGTGGGGCCATAGAAAAAAAAAGAAAGAGATTTTGAACAATGTAAATCTAATCTGGCCAAGTCCCTACAATACATAGTATGAAGGACACAAGTAGGTTGTGCATTGATGTTATCCAGTTGTTAAATGTTTTAAAGATAGAAATCAAAGTTCACAAACAGCCCATATCCACTCTGTTTATAGCTTTACTAATTACTACCAATATAACTAAACTGAACCAACAAATATTTAGATACCCTTACTTGGGAAAAAGGGGAAAAAAATCTTTGATAGAGCTATAAGGTAGTCTTTGTTTTGTCTGTAAGATCCTAAAACAGCCACATCTGAAGACAGTTTGTGGTGAGTAATTGAGGAAATGTTGGACAGTACACAATTTGGATTTTGAGGGGAGAGAGAATCAAACTCATTAATATGATATGGTTTGGGGATAGTGTGAGTGAAGTAGGGTCACACACCTATCATACTTGATGATAGTTAATATGAACCATTTTACAAGCAAAGCTTGATGGTATATCTACACAGTTATCTATTTTATAATCACTTTCCAAGTAAAAGAAAACGTAAGGAGTTCATATCACTTGTTTTTTTTTATTGTCAAGATATGATTTTGATTTATTTTTGGGGTCTTTATGTTAGTGATTTGCATGCTCAAATCTTGACCTTTCACTGGTGATAAAAGATCAAACAAGTCTTAGAACTTACCTTATCTCTTCGACCCATACTATAGGGTTTCAAAAGGCTGGTTTAAAAGTCTCCAAGATCATATGAAGGGGAAGGTGCAAAGTGTAAGCAAGTATAGCCACAAACGGAAGAAGAGAAAAAAGAAAGAAATATAAAAACAGATAAGTTTTCTAAAAAAAATTGTCAAAAGGCAAGTTGTATAATAAATAAATTAGTTTATTTAAAAATAAAAGAGTTGTTTTTATATAAAAGTTCTAAATAAAATCACCAGTGTTAGATGAAAAAGTTACGAGGAACATGATAGGTGGAAACTTGGAACTTCAGAACCAGAGAATCCTGTTATAGCTTGTTTCAAGCTCTATGTTGATTCTTGTCACAGATACACAGTCAAATATGTGGAGGATAAGAATAATCATATAAACCCATCTGTTTGAGTAGGAATTGCTGTCACATCTATTAACGACAACCAAAAAAAAGACCAATAATGAAAACAGGAGAAGTTAAGCTTCCCAATTATCTTAATGCATCTTGCTGCGATCAAAGGGGTGTTTTTCTTTTAGAGCTCACTCGCAAAATGGCTGTATCCATGTCTGCAACACCATCAACTTCTTTGAAAACAATCCTTAGCTTCGTTAAGCTCGACTGTTTCTCTTCGTTCTTGAGAGCTGTGCCAAAAACATGAACAGTGTCCTTCTCGACTCTTCCCATGAGGTCATAGAGCGACTTGCTTAGGTTTGGTCTGTGCATTTCTTCTAGAACAGGAGGCGCTTGCATGTAGAGGCTGTTTTTGCCGTGTTTGACACTTGCTTTCGACAATAGAAGCTTCGGATGTTCTTCAAGCATGTCGATGAACTAGGAGAAACACACAACATAAACAAATTGGAAACTGAGACGCGGAAACAGAGGAACTTTGGCACGGATAACTCATCTAGGTAAATGGGTAGTATACAGCTTGGAAACAGTGAGAAGATTAACTAAGAACAATCAGATCCAAGCATCAATACAGGGATAAAATTAGATGCATCAATCGAGATGGCACTAGCAAAGGACGATAAGTGAGCATAATTAAATCAATCAGTGGCTAAGAAAACAAAATCATGGAGGTATTAAATGGAGAACGAGACGACAGGGCTAGAGGAATGACCTTTTGCAAAGTAATTGAGGTGTCCAGCTCAATTAGAATACCCGGACCACATACAAGACACTCCTTGTCTCTCTCAAATTCAGTCACTTTAGTGTGGAGACCCTCTCCACCATTATACCTTGGGAAAATGAAGACCAACCAAATTGTTTCAGGATAACACACTGAACTCTTTGCAAATTCTTATATCTAAGTAGAGAAACTCTAGTCCGAACAGTAGCTAATAAGCGATAAGTGAAAAACCATACGTCAGATAATTAGCAAGTGTTTTGCTACATCCAGATACAATCTTCAAGGTTTCAAGTGCACAAGCTGCGGATATAATCGCGTTTGTGGATGCAATTGCCGGTATGATGTTTTTAACCACACCCTATATGCAAAAAAACAAGGGTTATCTCATCATAGTTCCTCAATGAATTCCATTACTTGCTTCAACTGATTACTGGAATATTTTAGAAAGTGAGAAACATACTTGTGTGAGAGAGTATGTGACACCCGGAATTCCAAAAAGCTCGGCTCTCTTGACAGCCTGCGAAGATAATGCAAAATATGAAATAAACCAAACTTAAAACGCAGAGCATAAGAAAGCAAAAGAAAGACTTACCTCATCATAGACCCACTTCATATGTTCCGGCACATCAGGATCAAATGATTTTCCACCATGAACCTACAGCAAGAATAGACTATACAGTGAATATATATACGCTTGGAAAAAGTCTCTTTGAAAAAGAATCCATGGACATACCTCATGCCACTTAATGAGATGAGCATACTCAATGCAATGAGCAGCATTCCTAGGGGTTTCAGCAAGAGTGCACAAAGGAAACTTCACTTGAGGCGGGAAAAGCCAAATCGTGCACTCAAAACAAGGTGTAACACCAGGCACGATAACTCTAGCATGACCCTTGAAACCTTCAGTTCCTCCATCAACCATCGGTTTAATTGTTTCACTCTTCGGGGTATCATCTTCATTATACTCTACATTCCACACAAACACATAATCAGAAAGGCGAAAAGGAAAATACAAAGGCAGAGAACTTAAAACTATTCCATACCAAGAAACCCACAAGCAACACCATTAATGTATCTCCTAGCTTCGATGGAATCAAGACCAAGAGCAATGATATTAAAATCGTTATAAAACTCAAGCTCTTTGTCTTCAATACGTGAATAATGAGGCACAATCTCCACTCCACTCACTCTCTCCATCACACGCTTTGCTGCTACCTCTGCCTTTGGCTTCCCTACATCCTCAAGTCTAAACCACAAACCAAATCAATCCAAACATCTATTAAACATCCATAGACTCAAAAGAAGGAGAAAATCACCTGAAGAGGAACTGGCGATTGAGATTTGTAACCTCGATGCAATCCATGTCAATCACATCGAGATTACGAAATCCAGAAAGAGCCAAGTCCTTGAGAAGCTCACAACCTAATCCACCAGCACCAACCACCAAAACTCTCACATATTCTCTTATATCATCTCTCAACTATCCACAGATAAAATTCATCTCAGCAAAACAATAAAACGATATAAAAAAAATCATCATCGAAGTAAGCGATAAATGGATTAAGATGAGTGATTAAGGCTTTTTTTTTTTATTTACATCGGTTCCGGGGAAGAAGCCAGGGCCGACGAGATTCCCTGATCTGAGGAGAAGCTTGTCGAGGTCTCTCGACTTACTCTGAGGAGCATCCATTAATACCATACGAGAGAGAGTGACGATCGATTCAGCAAAACTGATGACGGAGGAGAGCGGCGATACACTGCCACCAGAGCTCCTAAACCTCTCTGGCGATACGATCCTTATACTTATTGGGTCAACAATGGGCCTCGGCCCATTTTAATATATTAGAAACAATGTTTAATTGTCCCTTGTTTAGCAAAAAAATTACATAAGATTGATTGTTAATTCTAGCATCTTTAGCTAACTTATCAACAACATTTAATAGATTCCTAGAGACATGTCTGAAGCTAAATTGACTCTTTGTTGCAATGCCTTCCTCTTGCTAAATTTTGGTGGAATCTTTTTTGACTTTTCTTTCTAAAAAATTGAAATATTCAAGCAAGTCACATTATGTTGTCTTAATGATATTGTCCAAAGATGGTTTATATTCAATTAAAATATGGGGTTTAATCAGAAAATAGTTGATATATTTATCAACTATTTTTAAACAATCAATCTATATGCTGTTGGATTCATATAAATAACTTAACTATCTCTGTTTCTATTCAGTAAGTAATGTTATTTTTGTATTATGAATAATCTGTCACTCAAATCTTTAAAGGTAATGAGAAGTATCTTTACAACCAAAGGATGGTTTAACCTATTCAGTAACTACATATATCCCCCACCCAATTATAACCTAATCATCCCATCAAAATCCTCAGTGTTTTGAAGGTCAGGCTCTGAACAAAAGCCTATACAGAGTAAGAGCAAGAGCAAGATGTTTATGTAAAGGTGTCTGAAGCGCCACTGTTTGATCTTGAATACCCTTCACGCTTAAGAAACAACGCATAGAGAATCTCATTCCACGCATCAGGAACACCAGGGAGACACCAATGGCTACAGTCTTGTCTGTGGACCGGTGCAGGACTAGCCGACCCCAAGTAGTACAGTGATGGATGACCATCGTTTCTTTGAGCAGCCATGGCAGTTATGTTCAACAGTTTCAGTTTCGCCGCCGGCTGTGATGATATGTTCGAGTGGTAAAGAGGTGACAAGACTTCTCCAAGGAGCTTCAGATGTTCCCATGTCTCTGATGGAACTAGAGAGGCTCCAAAGTCAGGTAACGTCTCCATATGACATGTGCCTCCGGTTCTCCAATCTCCACCCCTGGATTAAAAACATAACTTAGATAAAAAAAAGATTGATAGAACATTCTTGTTTTGTAGTTATGTGCAAACGAACCTGAAATGCACGGGAGCAAATGTGCGGAAGAAGACTTGTGTCTTGTTTGTATCAACCTCTTCTTGTATCCATTTCACAACGGTCTTCATAGCTCGTCTATAAGCATGCTCTATCTTCATCTTCATCCTCACTCTTTCTCCTTCTTGAAAGTAACAACCTCTACAATAACAAATCCAAAAGATTAATCAAAGGGAACCAAAACACAAACAGATAGGTCCAAAGAAGCTAACCCTCGAATAGTTTTCTCAAAGTTCCACCAATGACCAGTATTAAACACCAACACATCCGCGTCTCTCCACTTGTCAGCATACCAATCCATAGTCTCTAGCTTAAGAGTCGTCTTCACCTTCTCCGGATACCCTTTAGGTGGACGGCTTTGAAGAACCAGAAACGGCGCTCTATAGTACTCAACAGTGCAATTATAGTCATGAAACTTGAACACAAAGAAGCCCATATGCTTAGTAATGGTTCTGTTGTTCACTTCATAAACCAAACCCTTGTTCTCAACTCCAGAAGAGAGCATACAAAGAAGAGACTCCCATTGGTTTCTTCCAATCGAGTCTCCTACAAACACTAGCCTCTTGTTCCTTAGCTTCTCAAGCATCAACTTCGCATCAAATCTGAAACTCAAAAGAAACTCAAATCTTAGCAAAACGCAGAAGAAACAGTAACAAAACGCAGAGAAAAGACATTACCTAGGCAAATCACAGTGTGTAGGTTGCCATCTCCACTTAGTGTAGAACACATCAAGTCTCCCAAACTCAGTGCATCTGAATCCATCATCAAGAAAGGAACAATCTTTGGAGTGATACAAAGGATACGCTTCGTCCCAAACCCATCTCCCATGAAACAAATCACAACCATTCCCACTCTCATCAAGAAACTCAACTCTGTTTCCGTTAGTGTTGTTCTTGCTGTTGTTGTTATCTCCAGAACCACCAACGTCGAGCTCTTTCAGCCAGAGGAATCTATCAGACTGATCCGAGAAGTCGTGGCTTTTGGTTTGAGCTACGTTTGTGTAGTCGAGGTAGAAGAAGCTGAAGACTAGGCACAGACCCACCAAGAAGAAACCCAAGACTCCTAGTGAGGGCTCGAAGACGAGTCTTAGACGCTTGAATCGTTTGATTACTTCTGGGATTTGTGTAGCTTCATCGTCTTCGAGAGATTGGTTCTTCGACATCTGAAGGTTTAATGAGGATACGGTTGCTGACTTTACTCTTCTTGCGGCTCTCTTAGAGAACTTCAAGAAAACGAGAGTGGCTAGAGAAGCTGAAGAGGCAGCGCTGCTTTAAGAGATACTACGTATTTAGATTCGAAGCTGTGTTTTTAACTATTTGGGTTCGCTTTCGAAATCTAAACAAGTGATAAGAATAAAGAACACTCTCTTAACTTTTTCTTGACCATCTCGTTTATCAAAAGGGAGAGAACGAGAAGTATGTAAGAATCGTGGGACCTTTTTTAAGTGGTGGGTCCCGTAGATCCAAAAGATCGTGCACGCGCGATCATAGCGCGTGACAGAAGTATTTACCACTAATAAGCGAAGTGGTGTGGGAGGTGGGGACGAAAACGGCGTCGCTTTAGGGTGCGTATTAAAACGGTTTAAGTCGTTTGGCTGGTTGTAGTATTTGGTCTGAACGCGATTATTGTGTGTTTTCCTTTTTTCAATTACCGAAATAGCGTTTTGGTCATAATGGTTCGAAAAATATCAAAAGGTCTTTTTAGCAATAAAGAAAAAAAAAAATAGGTTTGGTAGATTTAATAAAGTGAACGTGGAAATAAGATGGAATCTTCTAATGATTTTAAAGAAATTAATTTAGGAAGCTTGGAGGCGTCCATGACGGAGATGTGCATGAACACATCACATGTCATGTTGTCTAGGAACAAGATTCAATGAGTCAGAGAGTGATAACCGAGGAGAGCTTGCGTACCGGCCAAGATCAGATTACTCTTTAGTCGTGCTATTATGAGATCTCAAGATCATTTAAAAAGGCTTTTGTTAAACTGATGAGTTCAAGGTAAATAATAATGTTTTTTTTTTTATAATGATTTGGTCTAACTCTGAAACGTAGAAAGAGTGCAAGAGATGATGGATCTGATCTCAAGGTAAATTCCATTTACACTTGTGTTGACCTTTCCGATCCCAAGAATAACTGAAATTGTAGTTGAGTTCACAACATGCATGTTCAAGGTTTGTTGTTCCTTGAGATGAGCCATATTTTTACAGAACAGAGTTTGTTTAAGGTTGCTGATAAGGGATGGTTCTTACTTCTCAATCATTGAGTTTCATAACTTTAAAAAATAATCTGGACAATCTGTACTATACTGATATATGATTCGGAGTGATTGATTAAAATAAGGCAATGGTGGATAGTTCACATACCGATCTTAAGGTTGTTACCGAGATCAATGAAAGAAGCAAGGTTCAACAAAGTTCTTCCTTACACGTTCAAAAGTCTGTCATAAGAAACTGATATGATATAACCCTATATCCTTGTTGTTGGTGCTGAGAAGGTTGAGACTTGAGACTGAAGAGTAAGCATCAGGTGAATACTCTTGTTCACAATCACAATGCTGAGTTGTGAAATACATGAACAGAATGCTGAAGATCAGTTACGTTCTTTGGCCAAGCAGTAAGTACAAAACTCAGTTTATATGTCTAGGAAGAGGTATGGATTTGTTTATTACTGAAGCTTCTTCATCAGAGAATAGAAAGTTTGTTGTGATTACCAAATAAAGACTACTACTCAATACTCAGGAACCCATCTTCTGCCTATCTCAATATAACTTCTTAGAGGTCTATGTTTAAGAATGTAGACAGACTGAGAACTGCGAGATTTACTGAAGAAACACAAGTTCTGAACATGAGATTAAAAGGATCAAGAGAAGGTTTGTTTTGGGTCCATGAAACATAACTTATTGGGACGAAGATACTAAAACACGAGAAAAGACAGACACGGGCTGTACAGAGAAGCAAAAGACATTAGAGATACAACACCAGTACACCACATAACATCATCAACCATTGATAGCTTAAAAGAACTCATAGAACAGCTTCTTTTTTTTTTCTCTACATTATTATTACGACAGATGGATCTTTTTTTTTCCTCATTCTCCATCTGCAAGAACTGCTGCTCCTTCCACCTGTTTCCACCACCATTGTTTGTGTTATGAGCCTTTTTTAAAAAAAAAAGTGTTGCTAAAAACTAAAACTTGTTCTTGAAGAATCAATCAAATCACCTTGAAGGTGGCTCCCCAAATCTCTTCCTCTTTAGCAGGAATGGCAGTGATCTTGTTCTTAGGGTTCTCAAAGCTCCTAAGCCCACCTAACGCAGTCGAGTAAAAACAGCCTGCAACCCACGCACGCACAACCATATAAATACGATGTATAATGTCCCAAATGATCTTAAACTTAGGAAGTAAAACAAAGAAAGTGAAGAAACAAACCTTGAGGGAAAGAGGCAAGAGATTTGCCACAAGCACCTTTTAGCAACTCAACATCATCAGCAAATGCCACATACCCATCAGCTGTTATCCCCCAATACAATGGAACCTTACCTTCTTGGTCCTGAACCAAATTTAAAAACAACTTTTTTACCACCAAATTCAATCCCACCTCACCATAAATAAGGGGGTTAACAAGAGCTTACAGAGGCTACAAACAGAGTGGAAGTTGATTTATCAAAAACCACAAAGGCGAAATCACCACTTAGGTGAGACACGACGTGGTTGGCCGGGTAAGGAGCTCTGTCACGGAGAGTCTTATAAGCCTCAATGACCAAGAGAACCTCATTTGCATTCTTTGCAAGCCCATATTGCTGCTTCAAGCTTCCTAGGTTGTCAAGTGAACCTTGAAACAAGCAGAATATCTCATCCTTAGCCCCAAATGACCTGCATCAATTACACACAAAACATCTATAAGACAAGCCTATATATATAGTCACAAAGTTCAAATTAACTCATCTCAAGAGAAAGTATTGCAACTGATAATGAGAATAGTCAAACAGGTGAGTCAGCATCAGAACTTTTAATAGACATACAATTATAAATGTATTGGTTATGGGCAGAGCTAAAAGAAGAAAGCGAGGCATCATAATTCATAAGGATATCTATATTAATGCTTGTGGGGTTTAGTAGCCTGATAGGGTTTGGTGGACCGATCTGTAGATTTGGCATATCCAAAACACATACTGACCCTATATTTTTTTAACTATATAGGATGAATTTTGAGATAATATTTTTTACTACATGGTGTTATTGTTGATCATTGAGAAATCTGGTTCATGAATAGTAAATAGTAATTGTAATTTGTACCACCATATCGTTGGTATTTTACTATTTTGCAAGAAAAAAAAGAAAATTAAATAATTATTATGTTGGTATATGATCCATCAAGTATGATATCATGCCCATGTAGGCGTCTCTGTCCATGAACACGGATCAAGTTTTGTCTACTTTAAGTTTTGTGGCTGATGCGTAATGACTTATTCTCTACCACAATCTAGAATTTTTCCCTTGTTTTTTAAGGTTTTATATCCCTTGTGCTATTATTTATGTTTCTAATTAGCAATCGGAATGACATGAACAATTCAGATGAGTCATGAGAGACTGGTCAATCATCTTCGACGAGCAACACCACTTCTGAGAGACGTGTCCTTCCATCACCGACAAAGTCAACTACTAGATTCTGATTTTTATCATTAGGCATCTAAAGAGTTTTAAAAAATCTTTTTTAACTATTGGAATCTTTGCTCGGATAAGTATTCAGATATTTTAAATTGTAATTTTCTTATATGAATCCTCATCCACACAATTAGGCTCGATGTATTTTATAAAAGTTACCTATGATGATGTAGTTTTAAAAAAAAAAGTAAAATCTGGACTACTCTTTCATTATTGTTTGGGTCCACACACCAAACCACAAACACATCATCCAAAGCTTAGGGGAGTGATTATGTAAATCGGAATCTAGAATTTATATAACACATGTATTACTAGTATTATCTAAAGGGATTAAATATAATTAATGATATTCACTAGTTCCTTTTTTTTTTAATCAAATTTCACTAGTTCCTTATCTTAGTAAATTCTAGATAAAATCGGTGTCCAATTGGTCGAGCCATGCAATTTTTTTTACAGCTGAACTACGTTGTTAATTTTGCTATACAATTAATTTGATCATCAACGATACTAAAAAGCTTGACGATGACTTCACCACCGTCGGATCAATACACGGTAAAAACTTTGGAAACATCGTGCGCTGATTTCAAAGAGAAATGAAAAACAAATAAATAATCGGTGAGTACTCACCTTGGTCGGAGAGGACTCTCTTTGTGGTGGCTATACGCAAGCTGCACATAGTCGCCGACTTGTACTGACACGGCAGAGGGATTTTTCTCGACGAACTTGTTGACTAGAACCGATCCGGTTGTCTTCGGCGACGGAGTTCGGTTGCCGGCGGCCACTAGCTCTTCCGGCAAGGATACTATAGCTCCGCTGAAAATTCCCAACATTTTATCTTTCCTCCGCTGAAACTAAAACCACCCAAAAATCTTGTTTTGTAGAAAATTAAACTGTTAATGATATATCGGACATAGAGGTTGTGACAAAGGAGATCAATGGTGTTTCATTATATAGGAGGGGTGACGATGGATATCGTGGGTACTTTCGTCATTTTAGCTTCTCCTGAATCTTCTATTAATTACACGGAAATTAACGTCTTGACGTGTTTACATTTGGCAGTAAAGTAATACGTGGGGTCCATGCGGAAGAGATGGAATCATTCTCGAGCGTTAGATTCTGGTTTCGTGGGCCCTGTGTTGCCATTTGTGGTCTCTTGTCTTATCCAAACTCCTTTTCGAATACGTAATTATTGAAAATTTTACTCACAATAAATAGCTTTTTATTTAAAATATCGTAATGCCCAATTTTCATTTTAAAGTATCCTTAACTTTTATTTATAAACTGTAAAATACTGATAAATTTAGTTTATTTATTGAATTTTCTTGTCCGTTTTTAAGCTAACATATACTTTTCGTAAAAAAAGAAAAAACGAAAACCATCCACTTTGATGAATAAACACAGTTCTTACTTCTTACACGTTACCACTTTTTTCTTTGCAATATTTTATTTGCCATATTTTCATACATTTAATATATACGTAACTGCCCGTGTAACGTAATAAGCAGAAAACATATAATTTTCTGTTTTCCATCTAGTATTTCTTTTAGGGACGAAATTTGAGTATTTAAACTAAAATTAATGTCGACAGTTACGAACAAACTAAATAAGATAACCAATTTTCCGGGGCAAAAACAGTCAATTAATTAAGCGATGTATCCATTTCAAGGCCATTTACTAATCAGTTGATTCTATTGAAATTAAACCAATAAACATAACCAGAAATTTTAAATTGGTGTTAGTGTGTTTCGAAACCATTATAAACAATCATTTTTAAATTGAACAGCTACGTGATCCAGACTACCTATGTCTCACTCTATATAATATAAGTTGAAAAATATTCTCGTGTTTCGATATTTAAATAATAATTTTCAAGATAGAATCATTATAATTTCATAAAAGATTTAAAACCTTGTGCTACATAAATCTCTACAGTTTGGAGCTTTGTAATATTAATTTAACACTTCCTAAACAGCGGCAGTATATTTTATAAAAAGACAAAAACAAAATTAACTAAAATAAAATATCATTAAAAAGAATATGTAGTGGAAAAAAAATAAGAAGAAAGAATATAGAATGTTAGAACAGTGGGACGCCCATTGTTTTGTTTTAATACTTGGCCCACTGCCTTTTAGTAAATTCACCTTTGCAGTTTGCACATTTCCTACCTTCTTTATGTGGTTTTGTGATTTATTCTCCTTAAACATTCTACAATATGAATAATTTTAAATATAATCTATTAGTAAGTATATCGCTGGAAATTGAGTTTCGGAAGATGATACGTCAGCAAGATAGAGAACGAGAAGACTACGAGGTTGCTTTTAACTTTAAATCAAATAATCTACCATTCATCATATTGTTCTGTGGAGGTTGTACTCAGTTAAGGCCTTTCTCAGGAAAAACAGAGGTTGTACTCAGTTATAAATCTCTAAAGACTAACCTACCCCGTTACATAGTGATTTGTTTTGTTTCCAGATTCTTAAGAAATATCGGAAAGTTAATAAATAACTATAAAACTATTGGACTACCTTAAGGCTTAAACCAACCATATCTACTCATCAAACAAGAAAACTCGAGATTTTAGACTTTAGTGGTCTGTAGATTGATCCACAAAGGTTGCTGTAGAAAAACACAACCGTACGCATAAAGTGTTTGAGCACATAACCCACCTTACTTTGTAACTATTTCGTTTTCCTCCAAATTACGTAAACTAAACAATAATTAAACTCTAAGAAAGTTACTATGCCTTCAACCGAATACAAAGATGGGTGAGTTGCTGAAGAATTTTAACCATTAATTGGTTAAGAAAATGACACACGCAAACAGTGGAAACCCATAAAAGCAAATAAAAGGTTTGGTGACAACAACCATGAAATGTGTAAGACAAACTTAATAGTTATGACTATTTCGTGCCAGATATCAAAGACCACAGTATGGAGCAGAGACACCACTTAACCAGGCCATTTATATCATACCATGACTGCATTAGTTTTTTTTTGTTTTTTCCTAAACCCATGAAGGCATTAATTAGTTGCTCTATATTATCAAAACGAATGAGAAATCCTCCAATATAATTCGTTTTAAAACTAAAAACATACCTCACTTGATGCTTGGCAACATACAACTCCTCGAATTTCGTTTAAGACAGTGTTCTTGACATTAGAGCAGCCCTATTTTGACATTTCGAGTGGACAGTGGCCACGAATTTGGATGATTAAATTATTGTATTATCTTCCTATGTATATAGTATATTTTTGACTTTTCTATCAGATGCAAACTAAAATCTCCAAAATTATATTCTCCGAAAACAAGAAATAATATTGATAATAGTGAGAATCAATGACTGACGTTATCATTTTGTTTTGTTGATGTTAACAGGATACATAATTGGTTTTTATGATAAAAATGCTAAACAAGCCACAAGTTGCATTATTTTCTATCCTCATAAGAAAAAAAATTATAATCTAGAAAATATAAATAAATACGTGAGCAATGGCAACCATGGACATGGGAGTGGGAACTACAAAAGCTGAAAACGACTTTGATATTATTTATCTTTACAAATTTTCCAGAAACTATTTCAAAATAAGATGTTATTTCGTATGAACTAGACATATATAAGCTTTTATTTTTATCTTTTTGCTGCACAAAATTATCGAACATGACAATAGTAATAAGTCATAAGTGAGAACACCATTTTATCTAGTCAGAGACCTGTCCATGTTATTATTACGGACACTAATATGATCTTAGCTGTTACAATAGAGCCATCTGTTAAAAGCTAATATTTGTGTTTATAAATTCAAGTACATGAATTTGCTTGCCAAAAACTACAGTTACATGTTATGATATTACGTTTACACTAAACAAACATTTAAACATAAACATTTATGATTATGATCTTGTTTTGCATGGAGGTGCTCTGAGCGTCACACAATCAACATACAAGAAAAGCTCTATAATTTCACTAGGAACGATTTTTGTTGCTAAACATTAAATCTCTTGAATGTGATGATTCATAGATATTTTAAAACAATATGGTGTGGGACTGTGGATATGTGTAGATCTAAAAGCTTCCGTATCACTTAAACTAAGAATTATTATTGGACCATCGTTGATTCAATGATACAAAGGCAAAATGGTCACCCATCTCGATCACCTTAGCTTTTATATCTACTGTCAATCACTAACGCACCCCCACAAAACACTTCCTATGTAAATATTATCTTCTTGTTTATTTTTGTCATATCAACGATTTCTCATATGTTTCTGCTCTTTGTCTATCTATCTCCTTTGGTGCAATCATAGCCGAGCCTGGCCCACTATTGTCTATGCCCAACTTATTTTTTTTTTCATTTGCCAAATTAGGGAAAATACTTATTAAACAAAATAATTAGAACTTTTTTTTAGGATAGAACTAATTTTTTTTTGTCATAAATACAGATACTAAAAATAAAATAATCAAAATAGACTTAAATATTTTATATAAATAAGTAGATATACATTTATATTTTTTGGGTTAACTAATTCTAGATATTTTTGTTTAGAGTTGAAGAATGAGATTTCAGAAATAATTTCATAGAAAATAAAAAAAACTTAAAATTTTCAAAATAAAAACTGTTATTTTGATTATTTTAATTTCTTAGATATATTTTTATGATAAAAATGTTGATCGTAGAGAATTGATCAAATATTATTATATTCAGATGGAATTACCGGAAACAAATAAAGCCCAATATAAAGGCTTTTAACTTAAAGCCCATTAATCATAACTGGGTCGACCCGATCTGACCCGCAGTCTACAAGGTGGACTCGAGACTTTCCCGGAGATCTCAGTTTCAGGGTGGATTCGACTTTCACCTCACCGGGAATTGATCGGAGAAGATCTGTGGATCATGGCGACGGAGAAACAGGACAAGGAGGTGAAGACCGATGATGGATCTCCTAAAATCAAACCGAGACCGATTGTTCAGCTTGGAATTTTCCTAATCTCTCACAGTCCCGTCTTCAGGTGAATTGCTTTCCTCATAATTTTTGCTTACAACTGTCTTTGGTTTCTATGTTTTTGACTTTGTTCGTGCTTCTCTGATTGTGTTGTTACAGCGTTGTTTTCTCTGCTGCTGGAGTTATAGCGCTGCTGATTTTACCTCTACTTGCTAAGAACACTTACATCTCCGAGAATGCTCTAATGCCAGGTATTGTGTGTCTCATAATCTCATCCTTTGGTTTTGCTTTATGTGTGTTGATGAAATTAAAAGAGAGTCAAATGTATGTCACAATAATGATATTTGTGGTGGTTACTAAATTAGATTGGAATCAACACTGTTGAATGACGTGGCTTTATGGCTCTGTTTGTTTTGGTGCTTTACGTATTCCTTTTTTTTTGTTGGAATCTGTTTTTTAGGCTCTGCACGGTCTATGCTCTCTCATCGAGATGTTTCTGATGGAAGCAAATTAGTGAAGGACATTAAGAACTTAAGATTGAATCATGAAGGCCAGGGTGTGTAAGTCTTTTCTCCATTATAGCTCCTTCACTTTGAGTATAGCTTTCTCCAACATTATGAGGAAAAACATCGGAAAAAAGTAACTTGCTCTTTGATTTACTTCTTTTGTCAAGAGAATTAATTCTCAACTGTGCATAGTCCATTTTTCGTCCTTTTTTTCTCCAAATGTACCAGTTGACAGTCTTCTGTTTTGTTCTTTACCCAATTAATTTACTGATTCTATATTTATGTGTCTTTTTTTGTTTTAGTGAAGTCCAGAGGCTCATTGGGAAATACATGTTAGATATGGGTGCTGAAGTTTCTTATCAAAAGTTCCAGCCTGAAGGAAATCACTTTCACCCACTGCACTTCTTCTCCGGTCCTGCTTCATTTGCAAATCTGGGGAATGTCAGTTGTGATTCTTATGGAGTCAATGTTGCTGGGATTATTCGAGCCCCTCGTGGCGATGGAAAAGAATCTATTGTGGTGGTTACTCCCTATGATTTCATAAATGGTGGAGATTATGATGAGGCTTTGTCTTTAGGCGTTGCTAGTTCTTTATTTTCCTTGCTCGCTAGAGTAACTTGGCTTTCCAAAGACATAGTATGGCTTGTTGCTGATTCTCGTTATGGGGATTATAGACCTGTTGACGCGTGGTTAACTGAATACCACACACCTTCGTTTGAAGTCTCTGATTTGTCCAAGTGTGACGAGCTTAATACATTGGATAGCTTCAGACGGGCTGGAACAGTGGCTGCTGCTTTGGTTGTGAAGGTTGATGGTAGAAGTGAAAGGTTCGAGGACACACTAAGTATCTACGCAGAGGCATCCAATGGGCAGATGCCAAATCTTGACCTCATCAATGTTGTGAATTACTTAGCGGTGCACAGGCAGGGTTTTTATGTTAAGGTGGAGAAGGTTGTATCTTTACTTTCCTCTAGTTGGCTAAAGACTGTTGGGGAAATATTTGAAGCTGTTGGAAAAGTGGCTCGTACGTTAAATCCAGACTGGAAATTCGGTATCCCAGCCGCAGATTATCTTGAAGGCAGTGCTACACTTGCAAGTTCACTCTATTCCCAGGTAAAGCTTATAATGTTATCTGTCTTAAGTAAATTCTTGTGGTTGCAGTCAGACTGATACATTGTAACAAGGAAAACTTGTGAAGGTTGACAGAAAATGTCTCATTATTTTATTAACTCATTCTCATCAGGCCCTTGGTATCCCAACTGGTCCTCATGGAGCTTTCCGTGATTATCAAGTTGATGCAATTACTTTGAAAGTTTCACCTAGATTTCCTCCTGGCAATCAGGGAAGGCAACACGAGTTCTTTCAGCGAGGTGCCCAGTAAGTTTTCGCCTTTATATTTGCCATCTTTCTGCTAGTTTATGTGAATCTTTTATTACGAAAGAACTATAATAGCTCATTTATGCCACTCCTAAACTCTGTATGATTGTTGGATGATAACTCTGTGATTGCTCTTTAAACTCTGTGCTTGCTCTTAAACGCAGGTTACTTGAAGGAACTATAAGATCAGTGAACAACCTCCTTGAGAAGTTCCATCAATCATTTTTCCTTTACCTGTTAACTTCCCCAGGCAAATTCATCTCTGTAGGAGTCTACATGATCGCCTTTGCTCTTCTTGTAGCCCCTCTTCCAATGGTCGCAGCTTCTTTATACATTGATGGATGTACCACTCTTACCAAAGCCACCGATAAACCTGCCGAAAACCTGAAGTCATGGAAATGGCTAGATGCAGCCAAGCAGGTCTTTGCTTTGCACTTGCTGGGTTTCATCGTCACACTGCTTCCATATTTCATCTGTCAAGTACCTGGCGAACAATCTCCAACAAACCGCTCCATCATATGGGCTACCTCATCTTCTTCTCTTCTCCTTGTAACCTTTGTTACAATCCCAGGTTGCTCTCCCTTCTCCTCTAGCCTCCATGGAGCCAACTGGGCTGTCTTGAAATCAGTGACCATCTCAGCTGCCTTCATCGGTCTATGCCTCATGTCCATAATAAATTTCGCTACAGCAGAGATTGGAGCGTTGCTACTAGTGCCAATGTGTCTAATGGTTCGTCCAATAAAACCAGATTTGAGATCTAGATGTGTGAAGAGCTTGTTGCGTGCGTTATGCAGCTTGGCATTAGTGACAATCGGGTTCCCGGTCATGTTTTTTGCAATCTCCAAAGGATTGATAGGGGAAGGGCTCGTGGGGTTGAGCCTTGGAGGAGAGTTTTGGACATGGTTAGAGTCGCTATGGTCATGGAAGAGTGCTACATTTCTATACATAGGTATGGTTCATCTTCCTTGCTGGCTCCTCAACCTCTGTATTTTGTTTCATCCTTCTTGATTACACACTTTGTTTGCATATGTTATCCAACAACCTTATGTTTGTAACGTTTTTGGTTTCTTGAAAAACTAAGGCAGATACTAAGCTCTGAAAATATATTAGTTAAAAAATGCGTAGTTGGTTACAGTAGTGGGTAATGTAGAAGAACGTATCTTAACAAACACACAAACAAAGAGAGCAAAACTGAAAATATCTACTGTAAATTGGTTAAAACTAGATGGTTTTTACTACAAAGCTTCTGGTTGTAAGGAATCTGAAGTGGAGTGCGTTCTTTGTCCGAATCCCAACATCGAGTTACCCAAATCAAAGTCCAACACAAAGCCTTCTAGTTGTAGCCCACCCATTATAATCGGGCTGACCTGGTTCGACCCGCCGTCAACAATCCCTAAGCATCGGACTCCACCACCAACATCCACCACAAGATTCCTCCCCTGAATCCTCCACCTAACCATCTCACTCTGCAACGACAGATCAACCGCCGGAAAATCTTCCTCGCTCGAAGACGTGAAGCAGAGACTGAACGGTGCTACGGGAGCAACTGTTTTAGTTACAGCTTTACTATAGGCTTCTGAAAACACTGCGTAAATGGAGCTCTCAAGCATCGTGTAAGGGACCACCGTGCTTAGCTCCGCAGATAACGGACCGTCCACGGAGAGCTTTTCCCCGTTGACTCTGATTGATTTCACGTTAATCACGTAATTACCACTCGAACCGCTTAACAAAGGCGTGTAGACCAGCGATCTAGACGCGGGGACTCCGAAAACATCTTCAACCGAACTCGTAGAAACGACACCGTTAGACGGCGACAGGTAAAGCGTCAAACGACGACGTTCGTTAGTTTCCGCGGCGAGTTGCGAGGGAAGAGAGATCTGGGCCTTTCCTAAGCCCATTACTCCTTGAGCCCCACTAGCGAGCCCACGTAACAGCGACGGAGGAGCACAAGCGAAGAGGAGATCAACGGTTCCTGGAGAGGAAACAGATCCGAATGACAAGACGTCTCTTGCGAGCTCACCTCCCGCGGAGATACCAACGGCGCCGTTTCTCACAAGCAAATCGCAATCCGCGTTACGCGAGGATACTCGCTCGTTCCCAACCTTGAGGCAGCCGCTAGAGCTACCGGAGAGAAAACTCCGAGAAGAGGAAACATGTCCCGAGGAACAGTCGAACCATAGGAGCGAACCGGAGAGATCAACAACGAGGTTAACGGGCTCCGAAGAGTCGCCGAGGTGAATCTGTGCGATGTATTGACCGGTATGTACGTCACGAGTAACAGGGAATACGACGCCGTTAACGGGATTAGATATCTGTGAATTTGAAATGAGTAGAATAGAGAGGAAGGAGAAAAGGAAGATATTCAGACAAGATGCCATTAGAAGTGTGATTTGAGTGGGGAGACAAAGGATGAATACGGTTTTAAAGGATTTAGTTAGGTTGTGGTTTGAATCTGAGATGCGGTGGGCCGACGCTGGTTTTTAAGATTGGGAGAGAGACTGTGAACCGATAAGGATTGGTTAGATTTGAGGTAAGTGCTGAGTAGACTGCGTGTCGTTTTGCGGATCGTGGGGACCTTTTTTTTTCTTTTTGGTCAATGTTTATCCATTTCTTAAAAAAAGAAAAAGGCGACGATTAAATAGAGAAACTTTGGCACGTGCCAAGATAAGTTTTTATAAACATTTTTTTATTTCCTCGGGAATATCCGTAATCGTGTAAAGGTTTATGCCTACTTCGCCAACTGGGAGTTAATTGGTTTGGTAGAGTTACAAAGTCCATGTGGCAACTTTTAATTAGTAACAAGAATAACAGAGTTGTGGGAACTATGAAGAGTGAGATTGATGAATTAATCTTTTGTGTTTCAAAAAAAAAAAAAAAAGTGAGATTGGGCTCATTCATAAAATGGGTCTCGTATAAAATTTATATTGGCGATATAGTCCAATAGTCTATGTGCGTTTTAAATATTGTATATTGTTCATGCTTGCTTGCAGATAAAGTAAGTTGACGCTACATTTAGTTCTCATAAGAAACATTAATTCATTGCTCATCTACATAACTCATGAGACCCAACTCTCCCAGATAACAAAGCTTATTCTTTCTTTAGCACTCAATAAAAGAGATACAAATGCATTTGGAAAAGAAATCATTCAAAAAGAGCTTCTTAAATTGCAAGAACAAATGAAAAGGAAACAATTTTAGATTGTCACCAAGGACAGAGATTCTTAACTGATTAATAAGATATTCAAGAGAGAGTGTTGCATCCAAGTAACTGTAGGACCATGATTTCTTCAATATGACCTTGCACCGTACTGCAAACCAATATCTACAATGATCTTACTCAATCTTTCACGCTTAAAGCAAAGGTATTATATAACAAAGATTACTCTTAAATTAATCAACAAATAAATATTACCAAAGTGTTAGTAGTCTGGTGTTAGCGAAAACAAGTTAGTTCTATTGTGTTTTGTATTCAAAATAACTTTAGGATGGAATTTTTTTTTTTAAATCAGAATATCTAAAAACTGATACTATATATGAATTGTATTTTTAGTCTTGTTAAACTATATAATCTAATCTCTCCTTGATACATTTACATAAGTTAGTTATTTATGTTATTACACAAAGAGATTTAACTCTTGATGTTAAGAGGTGTGTCTCTTAACCTAATGATTCGATCTCTATATAAAGATCAATCATTTGATGTAACATCAACACAAGAATCTCAATAATAAAAAGCATTTCAGATAAGTTACATCATTATCGTAACCATCTAAAATAAGTTTATAACATCCATCTTATTCTTTCTCTTAAACTCGTTGTGTAACACAAGCGGTTGCTAAAAGTTTAACATGGTATCAGAGCTCTTCGATTGAGAGGACGAAGAAGAAAGCACTAGTAAGAGAAACACTTGGCGTGGAGAAAAGAAGGCTAGAAGATTCGGTCATACGTTACATCAGAAGCACACAAAATGATGAAGAATCAAGTAATCCCCATATTTGATGGAGAGAAGTACGACTTCTGGAGCATCAAAATGACAACCATTCTCAAGACCAAGAAGTTATAGTCTGTGATTGAAGAAGGCGTAACAGCCCCACCAGCACAAGTGGAAGAGATCCCTGAAACAACAAGAGCAAAATCGCTTAGAGAAGAAGCGATGATGAATGATATATTGGCTTTGCAAATATTGCTTGGAGCAGAGATCATCAAAAGCTTCCCGAGTTCTGTTCGGAATATTTCCAAATTTATTCTTGTTTAAGCTACGGAGCAGTGTCTTTAGGAGCTTTAACTTCTTGTGGAACCTATATAACGCGGAGGTGGAATGAAACAAAGCCTCAGTAGAGTCCCAACCCATGGCGACTGTGTCAAGAATGTCCGGGTGATCGACAAAAAAAGTTAAAAGAACTTAAATGGTCGCTTGTTTCCTAGAGGTGGAGTGTCAAAACGGATCCAACAGCGTGTGTGATCTGAGACACCAGAAGGCTCCACACTGACATAGGATTGAGGAAAATGATGTAGCCAATGATCATTCACAAGGACACGATCCAGTTTCTTTGTTATAGGGTTCTCCTTTTGCTTATTTGTCCAGGTAAAGGTAGGTCCCAAAGAGGTAAGATCAGTAAGATTGCAGGTAGCAACTGCAAATTGAAAAGCCTGCATTCCACGGAGATTTCCGTTTGATAAAGTATCCCTAGAGCGCTCAGATGACGCTAGAGTTTCGTTGAAATCACCCATCACCAGTGTTTTGAAACCCGACCCGGACCCGCGGTTGAACCGGTAAACCTGATGACCCAAAATAAATCCGGTTCGGGTTTTGTTAAAAACCCAAAATTTCAAAACCCGCAAAAACCCGAAAACCCCGCTAAAACCCAAAACCCGATACCGGTTGAACCACTGGTTGAACCAATAAATAAAATTTTACTTTTTTGAGTTTTAAATTATGTTTTAATTCTGTTTTATATTCTAAATTTCTAATTTAAAAGTTACGTTTTCACGTTTTAGTTATTGGCATTGACGTCTTCTTCTTTAAATTTAGATTAAACTTTCCGACTTTTTATCATACATAATATCTATTTCATTATTGTATCTGGGATTTATAAATTTTGATGAAGATTTCACTATACCACCTGAAAAAATGAACTGAAGGGTGGTAGCGAGAACCAAAATTAGTTGATGTGATTTGGTGTTAGTTTATTTTTGTTATTGTTAATTTATTACAATGATGTTTTACTTTTGGATTTGAAGTTTAATTTATCATTCTCATTAGACATTTAAATATTTATGAATTTATATCTTGATTTTTGTAGATGTCATTACTCTTAACTTGTTATAAAAAAATTAAATTATCTAAACTAGTTTTTGATATTTTGTATATTTATACATTTTATTTTAAAAAGAAATTTAGAAAATTTAGCTTCTATATTTTTATTTTCATAGCTAATATATTATTATATAATAAAGTTTCATTTATTAACCCGCGGGTGAACCGCGGTCGACCCAGTGACCCAATGACCCGGTAAATCGTCCGGTTCAGTGTCCGGGTCGGGTTTAAAAACATTGCCCATCACGATATATAATAGAAGATATATTTTAAAGATACCAATATAATACAGAAGAATTATCTTATTTTCTAAAAATATAATATTATTAATACAAATCCGTTTTAACTATATAATACATTATAAAAATCTGAAAATAAGAAAAATGACCAAAAATCATAAAAAGTTGACAAATAAGTAAATTTACTACACTCATATTTCATAAATATTCTTAAAAATTATATTTATTTAAATAATTTTGCTTAATTTAAATTTATTTATAATTTTATATCTTAACTTTAAAAGTTTTATAATATAAAATAAATATTTAAGAAAACAACATAAAGAGTAAGAGTTATCTATTTTTAAAAAATATAATATTATAAATATAAATTAGTTTTAATTATATTATAAATCATATTAAAATATGACAAATAAGCAAAATTATCTAAAATCCTGGATAAATTGACATATCAGCAAATTTACGTATTAAAAATATTCTCATGTAAAATATTATTTTTGAATAACAGAACATAAATTATTTTTATAGAATGATAGTTATCAACTTTATGATATTTGTTTCTTTAATTTTTGGTTAATTATATATTAAAATATAATTATTCATTAATGTTAAGAAAAACTTTATAATATAATATAAATTACTTTTAGATAATGATAATTATCAAATCAATGAAATTTATTTTATTTTATGTTTAATTATATATTAATTCGATTTTAGTTTATGGTTATTTAATATTAGTATTTTATATAATTATAATCATCAACATCGAAAATCTTTCTAATTCTTGGTCAATTATATATAATTTTGTTGTTTATGGTTAAATATATATTAATAAATACAATTATTCATTAAACATAATAATTAATCTAAATTAGTCAAGATAATAAAAACATGACAAATACACAAAATTAGCTAAAATTATGGAGTTTATGATAAGTAAGTAAATTTACTTCTAAAATAATAATACAAATATCATGATAAATATATACAATAAAATAATATTTTGAATAATAATATTAATTAAACTAAAATTACTTATCCTATTGGACCAGGAATCCTATAAAGCATTAGCCATCCGTTCTGCTTCTCACCGCTCCTATCTCTCCCTGTGGTTCAAAATTTTTCAGCCATAACTTGAGCCTAGGTCCTCTTCAAATTCTCTTATCACACTTGTTTCACTTTATTTTGTTGCCCTTTTCCATTTTCAAACTGTTGTAATGATGTCTCTTTAAGAGAGGAAGAAAAATGGAATAAAAATGTACTTAAAAAAAAAAAATACTTATCCTAAAATCATGGAAAAGATGACACATAAACAAATTTACTTCTTAAATAATAGTATAGATTGTGAGACTTACAAATTTTAGGTTTTTGTTTACAAAAATAAAACATGAAAATCAAAAATATAAATAATTTTTTGTCTTCTATTTTCCAACTTTTTCTTATTTAAATATGTGTCATACCGATCAGCCACCTGATATCATTTTAAACTAAATCATCTAAAATCAAATACTAAAAGTTTCTATAATAGTTATTTCTTTCATGGGAAATAATAAAAATAAAAGCTTCTAGAAATATCTACCCAAGGTCCTAGCTTTGCTTGAAATATGCCAAAGAGCACTCACGTCAATGGTAGAGAACTTGTTGTTACAATAAAATACATGCTTACTTCCAATATAGTTACTACTATATCATTTTCTCTAATCAGGAAAGTAAATTTATACAACACTGGCTCTCCGCTTACCATAGCTTGGCAATAGATCTCGGTGACGGCTATGTTTCAGTGAGAAACTCTTCATTTCTAACATTTTAGTTTTTTTCAAATATCCACATGAGAACCTTACAGTAAAATTGCTTTAAATTAATTGGCTAATTAATCATTGAAACCATGCATGGGTAAGTACGAAAATGTATAAGTAATCCACAATTTACCCGAAATAGATAATTTCTAGGGCTTCCGCGAAATCAAGAAAGAAGATTTCACCATGTGGTTTAGATATCATTACGCACACTTTCTGTATTTTATGTTTTTAACTAATACTATCTCGACACAAAATCTCATATATTCCTTCGTATACTTTTTAGCATCTCTATGTACGTTGGCTTAGATAGTATCTTAATAAATAAGTAATAAAATAGACATACATCACGTGAACCATGTGGTGGGTATCATTCATCGCATCCATATAAACAAATTATGAATCTAAACTATTAAAACTGAAGTACATTTTGTACTTAGCCCTAAGTTTTCCACAATAATTACAAGTGAATGCCATTGGATTAATATTAAATATTTAAAAAATTAAACATCATTTATTGTCTTATAAAATAATAAATTCAACGTTATTTCCCTGCATATGCTTTTTTGATTTCTCACTCTGACTTTTATCTAACGCGTTTTTCCATAACAATTCCTCATAATTCAAGATTAATCCAGTTTGACCATCAAAGTGCAGCAACAAACACCTTACTTGATCAATCTTCTTTCGATTTCTCACTCAACCTCTACCCAAAACCACTACTCTGTTTCATTACCTGCAACAACAAAAGACAGAGCTTGATCAAGAGTTCCATAGAAAAACCTCACAAAATTCAAGATTAATACAATTTGATCATCAAAGTGCAGAAAGAAACACATTGTTTGATTAAGCTTCAATAATCGAGTACTAATTATTAATCCAGTTTTGTATATAGTTTTCAGAATTCAAAAGATGTTTATACACATTTTTCTAAGTTCTGTTTTAGGCAAATTTAATATCGATGAAGAACACCTCCAGTGCTGATTATTAATCCATTTTATATATAGCTTTCAGTGTTTAATAGATGTTTAGACACAGTTTAATTGCATTCTTGATTAAACCAGAATTAGAAGACTATGTTTTCGTTTTCTTTTATCAGTCTATATATATTTCGTGATTATGTATATAGCCGGTTTCATTATACCATCTATTTCAGTATACCATCATCTTTGAATTCTACATTGAGTTTAAAATATTATTATATTAGTTGACAAAATCTAAACTTAACAAATCCTAATTTACAAACGTATCTCCCACATATCACGCATTCCTAATAACTATATTGCCGTATTTATACAATACATAACTTATTCCTAAAAAAATATTTAATTAACAAAACCAATGAATTTATTAAAGTTCTATGGTATTCACTCATATTTTCACCTTCCTTATCCAAGAAATTCTATTAATATTTCAACTAATTTTGGAGTATAAAAAGGGAATATTTTCATATATATTAACTAATTTACATATCTATGCTTAGAATGTAGATCTTTACCGTGATTTACTCCACAAAAATGATAAAATTCTATACTAATCCCTATATGTGTATTGTTCTCTGTGACCCACCGATAAATGATCGTTCTTCTCCAGCATGTACCTTTGTATGGCAAAAAAAACAACGACATTTGATTATTCCTATATTCAGTCTAACTAATGCACTAAACCTACATCAAAGGCCAAGCGAGACTACTCTTTTCACATATGTTGCAAATATAGAACCATATAATTCTCTAGAGAAATGAGAGTATAAGACTTAAGCTCAGATTATAAGACTTAAGCACGACCTACAAGTGAAAATCTGTCGGTAGAGAGAAGCTGAAACACTTTGTAGCTGAGAGAAGATGAAACACAAACCTAATGATTTTTGTCTATCATTTTCTTTAAACAAATAATTAGTTAGTTTTTTACATCACTTCTTGAGTTTCCCGGAATAATCTGTTTGACTCTTTTGTGGACTTGCTCCATAAAAAGATAATTAAAACCTAATTTACATATATTGCAATGAAAATAATATTTTACATAGTGGATGATAGGACCCATTTTTATTAGTTTAAAAAATAAATATTGTGAAAAACCTTTGTTACTTACAAAATAGCGTTTGAACATAATTTCTTGCTATTTATATTAACCTTTTGGAAAGATTTTGTTTTTTTAACATATTCTCCGTTTCAAAAAAAAATAACATTGTAAAAAAAATATTTGTTTCAAAATGATCTATTTTTTTTTTACATTTTCAATGTATGACTTAATGATAAAAGGTAGATTCGAAAAAAATTAATTGTGTTTCTTAAAATTCTATTGGTTAAAAATATAGGAGATTGTTATCTACAAAAAATGATGCATTGGTAATCAAAATTTTATATGTTTTTTCTTATTATGTGTAAAAAAGCTAAAACATTCTACTTTTTGAAAAAAGGAGTAGAAATTACTTATTTGCAAGCTGGTCACAAGATTTAACTTATTTTAAACTGAACACAAAATAAACGAATATATTAATAATACATTTAATTCATACAATAAAACTTGAAAATTTTGTACTATAATTTGACCAGACAACATACTTATTAATCAATACAATTTTTTAATAATTACATAACTGATCCTAGATACATCCAATTAGAAAAATACAAAAGTAAATCCAGTAATGTGATACATGGGCTCAACAATAAAATAAAATCAAATGCAACTAGGGGTGTTCATTCCGGTAAAATCGAACCGAAATAAAGAAAATGGTTTCGATTTGGTAGTATCTAATAAACCGAATGGATATTAATTTTTAGAAATAGTAAATATATGGATATGGTTTAGTATATAAATCGATTAAACCGAATAAACTGATTAGTTAAAAAATTAGTATACATATATTTAAATTTAATAATAATGTTAATAATATATACATAATCTATTTTATTACTATAATAATAAAAACATTGATTTTAATAATTTTTATTTGTTTGAAGTTAAAATGGTTATTTTGTTTTTCTCATTTTTCTAATTAAATAAAACATATTTTATTTTTATTGATAACACATTGTGCTAAAATATAATTATATAATAATATTATCATATTATTCTTTACTATTATTTAATATTTAAATAAAACAGAAAATATATTTAATAGTTAAACTTAGGAATGTATATTTATGTTTTAATAAATTTGATTTCTATTCATATAATCTTAAATTTGTAATAAAGATACATATAGATATAATTTTTTTGGTATAAAACCGAAAAACCAAAAATTGATGGTATATAAACCAAATCAAATCAAATTAGGTATTGTTCCAATATGGTAACTAACTTTCAAAAACCAAAATATAAAAAAAAAAAACTGAAAACACCAAACCAAAACTGTACCAAAGTCCGGACTGAATATGTTCTCCAAATCATTGTGTGTGAAATGTTTATATTGATATTGTAGAACAATCACCCGCGCGGGCGCGCGGGTCAAAATCTAGTCTTAATTATTACTGTCTCCACAGAAAATCTTAAGGGTGCTACATATATATTTCTAGCATCTATGATCATGATTAACCCGAGGTTCTTAAGGCGGAACTTTTAACGGAAAATAAGAAACTGTTTTTTAACTTTAAACTAAAAACGCTAAGAACCAGTTCTTAAAGTCCTTATTTATTAACTGGTTCTTAGCATTTTTAGTTAAAAAATAAGAAATAATTCTTACTTTTCGCTAAGAATCCCACCTTAAGAACCAGGGTTAATTATGTTCTAATCATCTACTAAGGACCGGTACTTCCTAGACATTGTCTAGTGAAACATTTGTACTAGACCCCAATTTTTTTTTTTTTTTAAAAATCATATGGATAGTCTCCAAAAAATATTTTAAATCCCCGAGTCTTTTTTTACATAGAAATAATTATAGGCTCTCAAAATCTCAGGATTGACCCTGTCATTTAGTAATCATAATAATAAATATATACACATATATAGTATATCATACTATTATAGTGGATTTTATGAAATTGTTGTGATTTTAGGGTATTAATTCAAGAGTTTTAGTGGATTTTATGAAATTTGTTGGCGGATATAGACCAATATTATATGCTAGTTATTAAAATTAAGTATCGTCATATGACTTGTAGCAGAAATCATTATGGTCACTAGATTCATTTGCAGATCCACAGCAATAACCCGTGTATTACAGTCCCAAACTACAAGTCTAAGAAAATGCCCAGTACAAGCATAAAGAGAAACAATCTTCGTTTTCTTCTTGTTGTTCTGGTCTACTGTTTAAAAGTGATACAGAGAGATGCAGTGTCTTATTTTGACCAAAAAAAAGGAGATGTAAACACACACATCGTAAGCTTGTAACTACACCAAGTATGTTACAACTTAGAAACTAGAATTAAGTTATCCTGCAGGATCCACCGACACATCTCCAATTTTTTCAAATATAATCTAGCCGTTGTAAAGTGTATATATATCTATTATATACATAATAGTCTTTTTTTGCAGGAGTGCGTATAATTTAAACACTAGAGAAAACATTAAACGTGCTCAAAACATTAAACAATACTATTGTAAAACTAAAATAATTTCACTTTTTAGATACAGACTTTATTCTACATCTACAAATACCATACATGTACAATAGTCCATCTTCATCTCAAACAAACAATCACCCTAGAAAACACAAAGATGGGTGGCCTTACGCATCTCATCGTCTTGGTCTCCATGTTTGCAGCCATAACTCTGATATCAGAAGCACAGTACCTTATTCCTGTCACCAAACACGAACCCACCAAACAATATTACGCCACTGTCAATATCGGATTCGGCGGAATGTCGTCTCCCGTAAACCTCCTCCTCGATCTCGAAACCAACCTAACGTGGCTCAACTGCCGCAAAATCAGATTATTATCATCCCTCCACGTCGTCACTTGCAAGAGCTCCACCTGCAAATCACTCCCCGGCAATGGCTGCGACAGGACCAACGCCTGTCTTTACACCCAACCAGGTCCTCTCGGCCAAAACCCCGTCGGCCGTGTAGCTCAAGACAACGCCACCATCTTCACTACACAAGTCGGAAAACCAATCTCCATAGCCCCTTCCCGCCGCTTCACATTCTCCTGCGCCGTCGAGAAATACCTCCAAGGACTCGCCCCTCGCGTCGCCGGAGTTCTCGCTCTTTCTCCCGGAGAGTTTCCGTTCTGGAGACAGATTGCGTCAGCGTATAACGTCATCCCCAAGTTTGCTCTCTGCTTGCCTTCTTCCGGCCTCGGCCTCGGGTCCTTCTATATCGGCACCCATTCGTTCGGTGGCAGTAAACCCGTTCCCATGACTTTGACGCCGTTGAAAATTGACTCGGGAAAATATATAATCTCTTTTACGTCGATCCACGTTGACGGAGTACCGTTAGCGTTGGAACCAAGTTTGCTTGAGGGCGGAGCCAAGCTCAGTACGGTGGTTACGTACACCCTACTTCAAACCGATATCTACAATGCTCTTGCTCAGTCTTTTACCCTAAAAGCAAAGGTTTTATATATCTAAACTATTTTATCTAATGAACTGATATATTTGATTTCTTTTTTATTGTTCCATTTCAAATACTCCTTCTGGTTTTTAATAAGTAAATATTTATTCAAATTAATAAATTTTACATTATACACTAATTTTTTCTTTTATCATAAATATAATATATGATGGTTAAAATAACTAAAATAAATACTTTTATACTTATAGAGTTAACTAATCAAGAATTATAATTTATTTTACGTTTATTTTGTTATTTGTTAGGTTATGGTTAGGTGGATTGTTAATGATTATTTTGTTTATAAAATGTATAAATTATTTTTTTCTTAATTTATATTGAACTTCATATAATAAAATAACTGAGAGAGTATTTATCAATATTCTAAAATCGCTAGACTGTGGTTAGGCGCCTTATACAAGATTACAGTTACGCCTGAGCTATTTTTTTAACGCCTACACCAATTTTTTAATAAATCGGTTTGAAAAAAATACTTTTGTTCATATGCGATTTGCCGACTAAGCACCCCGTACCGATTTTTAGAATACTATGTATGTATATCAAGTTTACTAACAATCTTTGATTGGGTTTTAATTTTGTTTTCACAGAAAATAGAAATGTCTGAGACCCAAGGACACGCGCCATTTAAACACTGTTTCGAAGAAGGTGCTTCAGGGAAGAACATGGATGTGTCAGTGATGGAAATTGGGTTACCAGGGAATGGAAAGGAGGTGAAGTGGAGGTTTCAAGGTGCGAATATGGTGGAGAGAGTTTCGGAGACGGTTATTTGTTTGGCGTTCGTCGACGGAGGAAGCAAACCTAATGAGTCGATGGTTATTGGGACACATCAGCTTGAAAACTATTTGATCGAATTTGATTTAAGCACCACGCGAATAGCTTTTAGTGACCCACTCGTGCTCCATAACGTGAGCTGCTCCAAGTCTTCATAAAATCAATCACACATGACCTTAAGAGATCCTCTTTGCCACCTCAGCTTTTACTTGTGTGTTCCAATCAAAAACTTGAATAAAACTATCAACATTTTTTTTAAATGTATCGTTTATTTTCCTTTCTTATAAGTTAATATTCCCCTAATGTTTAAGAATTTCGCATGCAAATTTTTTTGTGTTATTTTACAAAACTTAGACATGCACATTCAAATGTATTAATAGTTTATTTTTCTTCTCTTTCCCAACATTTTCATTATCTACTTACTACTCTATTTAAACATCAGTCATACACATCATCTATAATCTCATTTTAAACTAATAATCTAAAAGTGAATAATGTAAAGTAAGAGAGAGCTTTAGATGAAAATTGATAATCTTATTCGTTAATTTCCTTATATACATACTAGGAAACCACCCCGCGCGTAAACGCACGGGAGAGAAGATATTTAATTTATATATATTAAAGTTTAATATGATTTATATTATTTGATCAATTATTTCGAATCATTTAGTAAATTCATTAATTTCGATTTAGATAAAACTTTAAACAATAATCTTCTATACAAAATTACAGAGTATAATTTGTGTTTGAAAATGTGTAAATTTAAATTTTATTTATTTTTCTTAGAATATTAAATAACTTAATCGTCGTCAATTACTTATTTCTCTTTTTTTTTTGTGGCCGCTTGACTTCTTCCATTGATTGTGTTGTTGTATTTAGATTGTCAGCTTCACTTTGTTTTACATCATTCGATGTCTTTCATATTCTTCTTTTTCTTGTTTTATTTCCTTTAGTAGCATTGGTTTCTTCCATCTCATCCGCATTGACAAAAGTTTTATTTATTATAGTAGGCTGTTAAAATAAAATGTAAGTTGTTAATTTCCTGAAAATCTGCTGATTTCTATTCCCAAAAACAAAAATTGTATTTGAAATATATTGTACATCTTCATTTATAATTGGGTTGCATGTGATTCCTGTAACCGTTAATTCAACTGAACTTTACTGATAATTGAAGAATGTTACCTTAACATTGAATTTAAAAACTGTCTCGATAAGTTTTCCAGAAAGGTAGGAGACGATAGCATTATCACTTAAATCATTATATAATTGTTCTTACATATGGTAATTTTAAATATTTAATTTTGGATGATACATTATATTGTAGTAATTATTGTAAGTATGATACTTACGTGACTTTGAATCAAGTCTGTTGCAGATTTTCCCAAAATATGGATCATGTCTTTGTTGAATGTGGTTAATAAAACTAAATATGAGTTATATTTTACAACAATCTCAAGTTTATACTTATTTTAAAGACCTGGCATTTTGGAAATAGTTTTTTGAAGACCCGACATTTTGTCTGTATAATTCAAGAGTTTCAAAAATAACAAAATAAATTTGTATGTATGACAATCAACTTAAAATTACTATAGCAAAGAGAAAAATAGTCAATCATGAAATCACAATAAAATTTAATGTAAATATTAAAGTCACAGTGATTTTTTTTATCTTTTTATATATGAAAAAAACAAACTTATAAAACTTGTTGAACTTTTGGAACATTTTATATCTTTTAAGATTAAACAATATACTATGATTTTAAACATGGTAATTAACATGCAAAAATCAACATTTAAAAAAAATAATGAAACAGAGTTAATCCACGCAAACTTGGTTACAAAAACAGAAAAAAGAACTTAATCAGAGGAAGATTAAGAGATTACAAAAAAAAAGTTGAGGTTGTTTTCGTACTGCCACATTGGTCAAGATATAGTTTAGTTTCACTGAACCTAGCTAAACCTATTAATTTATTCTTGCAAACACAACTTTAAATTTCTAAAAATCGTTTAGATCTTTATAATGAATCAAACATTATATTCAAGAGTACTAAGAATCATACCTATATTAGGAAAAGAAAGCACAAAATTTTTCTTAAAAATGGCATCATTATAACCTTCCTATTTATAGTAATCTGAAAAAATTACATTGATAGACTATCAAGATGTGTATTTTTTTTTAAAATGAATATTTTTTAAAGTGGCAATAAAGGGAAAAAAAATGATTAACTAAATACATTTTCATGACCATTAAATAACACCAGAACAATAAAGAGAAAAATCAAAAATGCTTGAAAAGTTGTATACTTGTAAAAAATCTGAAATATATTACTTTAAAAGTTGCATTTTTCATTATAAATAAAATTGTGACTTTTCATAAAAAATTATCTATGACCATTGGATTATTTTTTTTCCTATTAAAATATGCTGATGTTTTAGGAGAATTGCTAAACAAAACAATAGTTGAAAGGTTGTATCTTTTCATAATAACTGAAATAAAGTTTTGAAATGTTGTATCTTTTCTTAAAAGACTGAAATATATTACTTTGAAATTTCCATCTTTTCATTGCAAAAACAATGGTGTCTTTTCATAAAACAATTAACTATTATTTGAGAAGTTGCATCTTTTCATTAAAAAACATTTGGTATTCCAAAAAAATAGTTGTTGCATTTATCAAGTAGCTTAAACATCTCTTGAAAGCCTTGCCCGCTTCGAGCCTTGAAAACTCTTCTTGAATACTTGTTTGCTTGCTTGAGATTAACATTGTTCTTGAAGCCAACTCCAAACTGAACTTGAAGTGAATGAACTTAATTTTTCTTACAAATGGGCACTTGCATACTTATTCATGGATTATACACATTTGGGTTATCTTATTCTATTTTATTACTCTTTGTTAACCCAAATGGCACCTCCATACCCTTAAACCCTTACCATTCCTTGAAGCTAACATTTATTTGCTTGAGTGAGGTCTTTTTGTGAAAGCTTGTCATGTGCAAAATCTTGAGAGTATTAGGAGCGACAATGGTTTGTTCTTATCTTATGCTAGCACTAGGACCTCATTTTAGCTAGCACTTAGGATGGTATTTGGGTTTGTAAGTGGGATTTTAATCTTGAGAGAGAGAGGTGAAAAATAAAATAATGAAAAGAGTGAGAAAAAGAAAAGAAAACCGCTAGGGATAAAAAAAAGAAGAAAAGTTTATAGATTCTCTACAAGATGTATGTGATCATAACAAGAGATATGGAAGATATAGAAATATATTATAGGATATTCATATCTTTGATGCAAAATACTATTTCAAATGTTTTATCAACCAATTAAAAATCTCTGTTTTTTGTGACAATTAAAAATTATTTGCTTTTCATGACCTATTTATAATACAATTATATACTTCCTTTGTTTTATAATATAAGTAGTTTTAGTGACATTTTTTTTGGTTTCAAAATAGAAGTATACTTTTTTGGTTTCATAATACAAGTATACTTTTTTTGGTTTCAAAATACAAGTATAATTTTTACATTCTATGTAATTTTTATATTTATTGGATATATTGTGACCTATCAAATTATATAGATTTATTTTTGATTAGTTCAATTATATCTAAGCTATGTATTAAACAATATTTTTAAAAATTATCTTTTTTTTTGTCTTTGTGCTTTTAGTTAGAAATATCAATATTATGAAATAGAAGGAGTATCTTTTTATTGAGCCCTAAATAGCTAGAAAATAAGCTTGTGCTGTTTTGGTTGTGAAAACGTGTTTTAGAATTCCGAACTTACCAAAGAATAGATGGAAGCACCATTTAAAGTAGAGTGAATTGGGTAGAAATCCATAAGAAAATGGGAAATTAGAGATTTGCCATTTTTGGTGAGGAAAATAGTAATGTGTGGGAAAGAGAGATAAATGAAGAAATAGGATATGGAGTGAATTATGAGGTTTAGTGTGTGTATGGAGTGCAAATACTCTTTAAAGTACAGGAGAGATAGCCTCCACACAATGATACGTCGTTTGGAAAAAGACCCGAAAGTTACCGTCTCCAAACCAATCCGCCGTGTATACTCATGGACAAATTTAGAAAAAAAGGTATATACTCATAGACATGAAATAAACTTAACATACGATGGTTATTACTTATTCATGTTGTATTGTATGTATTTTTTAATATAAATTTTACGATCCAACAAAGAATTTATCATATATTCATATATTCCTATATTATGTTCGGATATAAGAAGTCAACTAACTTCTTTGGAAAAAATATAGAGAATTTGCATCCCATATACAAACTAAACCCCTAAATTAATTATCTATCCTCTTTCTTTCTTATCTTTCCTCCTCCCTCTCACCATTATTTCCCTTAAAACCATGGCATATCCCTAATATTAAGTTAGAGAATTTGCATTCTGTACACACAAAACATCTTATTTAGTTCTATACCCTATTTCTCTCTTCTCTCTCCTTTCCCCATCACTTTTTTTCCCCCTAAAATATGGCAAATCCCTAAATATTTTTTTCTTTTGGTATATTGTGCTAAATCACTCTAAAATATAAGAATAATATCAAAGTAGCCACCACATATTATATTAATACATGAGCAGCGGTTAAATGTTTTCTGAAACTATCCAGCTGGAAAAAAAGAAACTATTCCCGTCTTAGCATTATAATAGACCTATGGATAAAAAAAAAATTTAGATCCTTTTTGTGAAGAAAAAATAAAATTTTAGACCCATTTTTTATATAAATTTATGTGGTTTTAAGGTAGACCCTAAGCATTTGCTATGTTTGTCACCCCTCTAAACCGGCACTGCTCAGCAGGATCCACCAACATTTCTCCAAATTTTCAAATATACACCGTAGTACAAACCGATATCTACAATGATATTGCTCAGTCGTTTACGCTACGGTATTAAATAACAAAAAAATTTTAATTTGATGAACAAATAAATCTGATTTTTGATACAGCAATGCTTAACACTCCCTCAATTTTAATGTACAATTTTACTTTTATTTGACTATTAAAATTCTTAAAAATTTACTGTTTTTATTAATTTAACTACTAGAGATAAAAAAGTTAAATCAGTTGAAAACTGCATTAAAATCATAAATCTATGCTTATTATGTAACTAAAGTTTAGTTTACAATGATATTTAATTTGACTATGTTTTCAAAGAAAATAGGAATTTCTAAGGTACCTGGACCTGCGCCAATTTAAACACTGTTTCGAAAAAGGTGGTTCTAGAAGTGACATAGAGGACTTGATGAACGTGCCGGTGTTAGATATTGGGCTGCCAGGGAATGGAAGGGAGGAAAGGTGGATGTTTCAAGGTGCCAATATGGTGGTGAAAGTGTCGG